AGCCAATTTACAACCTTAAGGAATTTCCACCAAAACTCCATTTCCATGGAGCTCACTTTGGCTTCAATTTCCCATTCACTCGGTAATGGTTTTGAGCAACCAAATATACCACGTGAATCACAACGCGGCATAGAACGCGTTACCACTTTGACCCGAGTAAATCGACACTCGGGGCCCACTGCCCACCTAAAAAATAGACCAAACTTGAGGAAAAAATAACCATTTCCAACAGGAGTGCCCCCGAGTGGACGAACCACCGCCAGAATCTTCTCTTTCTGTTGCAGGTCAGCCAGGTGCCATCTATTCTGCCGGTGCTCTCCAGCTGGTTACTAAGCGGACAGTGTGATCAGAAAATCACCCACACAGTACGTAATGATTTTTTAAGGCTCTAAATCAAATACATCCTAATATTACGGTGTAAATTGATTTTGCAACCATATTGGCCAGTTTGTGCTATATATTGCATTGTAACAATTACGGTGGCCGCTACATCCCACTGATGATTTTTACATTTCACAACAATGACACTTGATTTCCGCTAATTACTAGCCAATACTATTGATACTAATTCTACAATCGATATCATTACGTATCTTGTATCTTGTATCTTGATACTGCGATTTAGAACTATCACTGTATCTTGTATCTTGATACTGCGATTTAGAACTATCACCACACGTGTATATCATTTTGGAAAAAAATTCGATTAATTAGATTACCATAACCTTGTTATTTTATTATATTTGTTTCTAAAAAGTTAATGTCAATTTTTAAAAACACACTTATTGTTCATAAAATGGAGAGGCTACGAGGTGTGATGATCTCGACTAGGAATGGCAATGGGGGTTAATGGGGTGGACATTAATTCTCCATCCCCATTCCCCTATAATATATTTTCCCTATTACCCATTCCTCATTCCCCATGGGTACCACCCTCCCCATTTCCTAATGGGTTTAGATTTTCCCCAATCCACTTTAATCCCCATTTTTATTTTATTTTTACTTTTTATGTTTAATGTTAACAATCACTTTTTTTTTTTTTTAAAGGTTCACAACAAAAGCTAAATATACCTTCAATATTTTTCCTTTCTTTTTTAATATATTTAATGTTAACATTTTTTTTTTAAAGGTTCACAACAAAAGCTAAATATACCTTCAATCTTTTTTCTTTCTTTTTTAATATATTTAATGTTAACAACTTTTCTTTTTCTTTTTATTTATTTTTATTTTTTTAAGGTTTAGCTAAATATACCTTCAATTTTTTTTCTTTCTTTTTTAATATATTTAATGTTAACAATTTTTTTTTTTTTAAAAGTTTACAACAAAAGCCAAATATACCTTCAATATTTTTTCTTTTTTTTTAATATATTTAATGTTAATAACTTTTCTTTTTCTTTTTATTTTCTTTTTATTTTTTTTATTGTTTTAAGGTTTTAGGTAAATATACCTTCAATCTTTTTTCTTTCTTTTTTAATATATTTAATGTTAACAACTTTTCTTTTTCTTTTTATTTTTTTTAAGGTTTTAGCTAAATATACCTTCAATCTTTTTTCTTTCTTTTTTAATATATTTAATGTTAACAACTTTTTTTTTTTAAGGTTCACAACAAAAGCTAAATATACCTTTAATCTTTTTTCTTTTTTTTTTAATATATTTAATGTTAACAACTTTTCTTTTTCTTTTTCTTTTATTTTTATTTTTTTATTGTTTTAAGGTTTTAGGTAAATATACCTTCAATCTTTTTTCTTTCTTTTTTAATATATTTAATGTTAACAACTCTTTTTTTTAATATACCTTCAATCTTTTTTCTTTTTTTTTAATATATTTAGTGTTAACAATTTTTCTTTTTCTTTTTATTTTTTTTTATTGTTTTAAGGTTTTAGGTAAATATACCTTCAATCTTTTTTCTTTCTTTTTTAATATATTTAATGTTAACAACTTTTTTTATTTTTCTTCTTTTTTTAAGGTTCACAACAAAAACTAAATATACCTTCAATCTTTTTTCTTTTTTTTTAATATATTTAGTGTTAACAATTTTTCTTTTTCTTTTTATTTTTTTTTATTGTTTTAAGGTTTTAGGTAAATATACCTTCAATCTTTTTTCTTTCTTTTTTAATATATTTTATATTAACAACTTTTTTGATGGAGGGTAAATGTAAGTTTTTACTGATGTTAATATGAATATATTTAATGTTAACAACTTTTCTTTTTCTTTTTATTTTATTTTTATTTTTTTTTATTTTTTTAAGGTTTTAGCTAAATATACCTTCAATCTTTTTTCTTTCTTTTTTAATATATTTAATGTTAACAACTTCTTCTTTTTTCTTTTTCTTTTTTTTTTTAAGGTTCACAGTAAAAACTAAATATACCTTCATTCTTTTTTCTTTCTTTTTAAATATATTTAATGTTAACAACTTTTCTTTTTCTTTTTCTTTTTATTTATTTTATAGCTAAATATACCTTCAATCTTTTTTCTTTCTTTTTTAATATATTTAATGTTAACAACTTTTCTTTTTCTTTTTATTTTATTTTTATTTTTTTTTATTGTTTTAAGGTTTTAGCTAAATATACCTTCAATCTTTTTTCTTTCTTTTTTAATATATTTAATGTTAACAACTTCTTCTTTTTTCTTTTTCTTTTTTTTTTTAAGGTTCACAGTAAAAACTAAATATACCTTCATTCTTTTTTCTTTCTTTTTAAATATATTTAATGTTAACAACTTTTCTTTTTCTTTTTCTTTTTTTTTATTTTTTTATTTTTTTAAGGTTTTAACTAAATATACCTTCAATCTTTTTTCTTTCTTTTTTAATATATTTAATGTTAACAACTTTTCTTTTTCTTTTTCTTTTTTTTATTTATTTTTTATTTTTTTAAGGTTTTAGCTAAATATACCTTCAATCTTTTTTCTTTCTTTTTTAATATATTTAATGTTAACAACATCTTCTTTTCTTTTTTTTTTTTTTTTTTTTTTTTTTTTTTTTTTAAGGTTCACAACAAAAGCTAAATATACCTTCAAACCAAAACCTGCACTACACAGTGTCCTTAATTTTTTTAAATAAATTTAAAAAATTCGAGATATGCATAAAATTTGACAAGAATAATGTGACAATGTTAATTAATGTGTATTTGATTTTATTGTTGAGCCAAATAAAATAAAATAAGATTTAATGTATATTTAGCTTTGGTTGTGAATCTTAAAAAAAAAAAAAAGAGGTTGTGAACCTTAAAAAAAAAAATTAAAAAAAAAACAAAAGAAAAAAGATTGAATGTATATTTAGTTTTGGTTGTGAATCTTAAAAAAAAAATGGTTGTGAACCTTAAAAAATAAATAAATATAAATAACAAAAGAAAAAAGATTGAATGTACATTTAGCTTTAGTTGTGAATCTTAAAAATTAAAAAAAAAAAGGTTGTGAACCTTAAAAATAAAAAATAATAATAATCAAAAAGATTGGAGAAAAAAAGGTTGTGAACCTGAATAAATAAATAAATAAATAAAAGAAAAAAGATTGAATGTATAATTAGTTTTGGTTGTGAATCTAAAAAAAAAAAAAGGTTGTGAACCTGAATAAATAAATAAATAAATAAAAGAAAAAAGATTGAATGTATAATTAGTTTTGGTTGTGAATCTAAAAAAAAAAAAAGGTTGTGAACCTGAATAAATAAATAAATAAATAAAAGAAAAAAGATTGAATGTATAATTAGTTTTAGTTGTGAATTTAAAAAAAAAAATGGTTGTGAACCTGAATAAATAAATAAAAGAAAAAGATTGAATGTATAATTGGTTTTGGTTGTGAATCTTAAAAAAAATATATATATATATGGGGAAATTAGTGGGTACCCATCCCCAACCCATCCCCTGTGGATATTTAAAGAATATCACTTATCCTACCCAATGGATAAGAAAAAAAAGGAGAAAACCCATGTATTTAGGTTGGGTTTTCATAGATACCCACAGGATAAGTTGCCATCCCTAATCTCGACAAGTTTAAACAACACTTCCAATCTAAATTTTGGGCTAGGGGGAGCCTAGTCCCTATTTTGTGTACTTTTTCGTGTATATTTTTTTGTGTAAGTTAGTTTAGTGTTAGAAATGAAATAATGAATTATTCACTTTTGTCATACACTTGTACTATGAACATAATTTTTTTTTCTTTCTTTTTTTTAACAAAATGGGACACAAATATGAGATAATCAGTGTGTCTCACATTTGGGGTCTCCCATGTGTGGTACTCAAGCTTTATCTCACATTTGTATTCCATTCTATAAAAATTTTGTGTGCACTTAGATTTAGGCCTGGTTTGTCATAATTTAAAAAAGTCAAAAAGTCAAAAAGTCACTATCCTATTTAAATTATATCATCTTATTTAAGTCACATCACCTCTCTATCACATTACTTCAAACCCAACCCAATCCATACCCAAGTCATATTTAATGAAAAGTAAAAAATTACACTTATTTAGATCATTCCAAACAACTTTTTACTATTTACTGTGACATTTGTCATATATAATTATTCATACAGTAAATTACACCATTGGCCATGTAATTTAAGGAAGGTGTCACATTAGTCCTTGTAATCTCAATTTGAACAATTTATACCTTACATATTCAATTTTATTACAATGTAGTTCCTCCATTATACACCGTTAAAATTTTAATTGGAAAAAGACAATATATAAAATTAGAAGCACTAAAGTGAAAAGACAATATATAGGGGTGTCATTTTCAGAGCAAATGTTGCTGCAATTTCTAGCTCATACTCGGCTTTCAGTGAATCAAGCACAAGAAAGGACAAGTTGATGAAGGAGGCTAAAGCAACAATACAACTCGGGAAAACACTAGGTATTGATTTTGGTGGAAAGGGGGATAATGTGTTAAAATAGATAGTTCAGTTGGAAACTTGAGATTTGGAGAGGATTACCGATAGTGTTTGGGCAGATGAAGTCTAATCAACCAACGGAGGAGCTTAGGTGTTTTGCAGATTGGTTTATGAAGATAATGTCTTGGAATGTGCGTGGTCTAAGTAGATCAGAGAAAAGGAGTAAAATTAAGAACATCTTAAAAGAAAGAGGAGTGGATGTGGTGTTAATTCAAGAAACCAAGAGAAGAAATTTAGAGGAAACCTTCATTAAATCTATTTGGCCATTTGATAAAATGGAATATATGGGTATAGATGCTGATGGCAGTGAAGGAGGACTACTGTGTATCTGGCACCCTGATAGATTTAAGATTGTTGATTGTTGTGGCTCCATAAATTTTATCATTTTATCAGGTACTAGTGGTCAGTCTTTTGAATGCTCTGCGGTGAATGTCTATGCTCCCAACGATGTTGGCAAAAGAAGGCAACCGTGGGAATCTTTAAAGAATCTGAAAATTTCCTACCCTAATCCTTGGTGTATGGGTGGAGATTTTAATGAAATTAGATTTCTCAGTGAAATGAAAGGTTGCTCTAGAAGGGATAGAGATATGAATGATTTTAATAAGTTGATTAATTGGTTGAATCTTGTTGATTTGCCAATGAAGGGTAGAAGATTTACGTGGTGTAATGCACAAGATGGGGAGAGATGGAGCCAGATAGATAGATTCCTTTTGGAGAGTATTTGGCTTGAGCAGTTCTCCTTCAAGCAGTTGGGACTGCCTAGAACAATTTCTGATCACTGTCCTGTCATAATAATAGAGGATGAGAGGAATTGGGGCCCAAAACCTTTCAAATTTATTAATGCTTGGTTACTTCATCCTAATTTCAAATCAGTAGTGAAGAGATCATGGGAGGAAGAAGTTCAACTGGGTTGGGCTGGGTTTAGGTTGATGAGAAAGCTTGCATCACTCAAAGTCAACCTCAGAAGATGAAATTCAGAGGTGTTTGGTTATGTGGAAACACAACTTAAGCAAGGAGAGGAGAATTTACATGCTTTGGATTTGGTGGCTGAAGAAAAAGCTTTGTCAGAAACAGAAGCAAATTCAAGGAGAGAAGTTAGAGGGCTAGTTTGGAATTTGCATAGAAGGAATGAGAGTTTATGGCATCAAAAATCTAGAATGTTGTGGGCTAAGTGTGGGGACAAGAATACAAGGTTTTTTTTCATATGATGGCAAGCTCTAGGCAAAAAAGAAACCTACTTGATTCAGTTGTGGAAGATGGGATTAGGGTGGTGGAACCAAATTCAATGAAGCAAGCTGTTCATAGGCATTTTGTGAAATTATTCTCAGAAACCTGGAGCTCTAGGCCTAAGCTTCTTGGCCCTTTTGCCTCCATTTCTTCTATTGGCCAGGTAGAAAGCTTAGAAGCAAAATTTTCAGAGCTGGAGTATAACGATCCCGGTTGTCCCTTTACTGTTTTATTGTATTCCGGACTCGGTTCCGTGGAGTTGGTAGTTGTATCTATCTTGTTGTCGTCCTTTAATTCCATTTGTTTGAGTTTTAGGATGTGTTAGGCATGTTTCGAACAGGTGGGTTGAACCTTGGTTTAAAATCTTGTTGCCAGGTTTTTGGTCGTTCCGCTCAAGCGGGCCTTGTTGCGCTCAAGCGGAGATTGCACACTCCCAGTATTTCGTGTCCCTGCAAAACTTCTGCAGGTGTGATTTTTACGCTCGAGCGGGTTTCTTTACACTTGAGTGGTCACGCTCGAGCGGGTACTTTGGCGCTCGAGCGGGTAGTACTTTTTGGTGTAAGTTCTGGGAGGAG